TTTTTATTAGTTTTAATTCATGTTTAAAACAATGGATTATAAGCTATCAAAATAAGCTATCCTACCTCAGCTCATTACTGATTACCTTTGGTTTTGCGACTCTTGAACCGGATTGGACTAAATAGCGATACGATGTGGTGTATGTTAGACAAGTATTTGTATAAACATCAAACTTATTTTACTTCCAATTCGGAGCCATTTTGGGGCACACAGATACATATATGTTATGAGAATAGAACGATCAAAGTAGAGATACCAATAACATAAACTATGTTCTGACACATGATATTATTTGAGTAATTATATTTAAAGATTTAAGTACAGTTTATATCCTTTGTATAATGTCATAATACAAAAGATTTACAGAAATAATATGTGAACATATATGTAAGGAATGTCTACCTCAGGAATAGATAGCCTTAGCTGTATTTGGCAAAACTTTTAGGAATTTTTGGTCCTCAGTGCTCTTCAACTTCGTACTTTATTTGGCCTTTTTAACTTTTTTTGATTCGAGCGTCACTGGTGAATCTTTTGTAGACGAAACGCGCGTCTGGAGTAAATACAAAATGTCAATCCTGGTATCTATGATGAGTTTATTTGTTTCTTATCCCATAGTTAGTTTGCATGACATTTGAAAGTATACATAAATGGTTTTGTCTTCATTATTAAAAAGCCAATAGATTTTTTATCAATTGCTAGACATAATAGTTTTGACATGATTAGTGTTAACAATTAAGTCAGTTTTAAACTTGGGCAAGTTTAGACAAAATGACTACAACAAATGTCATCAATTATATTTTTTTAACGATCAATCCATTTGTCCAAGTTTAAAACTTAGTTATTTTCTAACATTAATCAAACAAGTACATGAAGTACTTGCATTTGGTTCAAAACTTTAAAAAATCATGATAAAAATAAAAGAAAATATAAAGCATAACATAAGAGAATTTCTGAGAAAGGTTAAAAAATTTATTTACCTTCAAATACAATAGTTTGCAGTGTGATAGTGAAAGCTTTTGATTTGTGGGTTCAAAATGTAGCATCAATGAAGGATAAAATAGTAAATATCTACTTTAGAAGATTTATAATGATATCTGATGAATCTTCATATATTTCTGTTCTAAACATTGCTTCACATTTATTTAGAAACTATAAAATCCTGCTACACTATTTATTTTAATATATCAAACTCATATTAAACATTTAAATGTCTCTGTCCTACATATTCTAGAATCAAATTAGTTGATGGTTACTTCTTTTGATGTCTATTTGTTGTAATACTAACATTTTTTCACTTCTATGTTTTTCAACTGATTTATTTTAAGGCCACTTTTAGCATGCCACAAATCAGCATAATACATTAATATTCAAAAAAGCACATCCATCAGTCTGTATTGACATTTTAGTATCAATTGTCACACATATTCATAAACATTTCATCACAATGACATATTATCTGACAATTTTCATTTGTTTGTTAATCCCTATACGAAACAAATACACAGTTTTCCTCTGATTTATACTTTTATTTCTCTGTCTTCTATGTTCCAGAATCAATGTATACATTGATATTCATTTGTTGTCATACTGAAAATTGCTGTACTCCTCAGTTTTTCTTTTAATTCAAATGTGACATATCACGAATCATCTTATACAAAGCACAGTAATTAGTTTTCTATGATATATCTAAAATAATTCTCAAATCTATTTTTTAACATATTTTATTCATGCATGTATGTCAATACCAAAGCATCTCTGTATTTTTATGCCTCCGACGGCAACGGGGGCATTTAGTGTTACCCTTGACCGTCTGTCCGTCCCTCCGTTCGTTCCATTTTCGTTTCCGCACTCTAACTTAAGTTTGCAAATTTTATGAAACTCATACACAATGCTAAGAATTACAGCACACATACAGAGATCAAATTTGGGTTGTGAGTCAATTACTGTTCTAGAGTTATGCTCCTTTTTAACTTGGAAAATTGCAAAGCTTGGGCGGGGATATTCGTGTCCTTAGATACATTTATATTATACACAACTTCCTTGTGTTTAATTTTCAAAAAAAGCCAGTGCACAATTTTTTTCTCTGATTTACCTCCCTTATGTGGTATAATACCATTGCTTTGAAGTAATCTTTACGCTGTAAAAAGTATAATAAACATTATTATTGACAATTTTCAAATTCGTTGGTATAAAATATATGATCTGATAAATATAAAATATCATTTGTTTTTATCAATATCACATCTGTAATAATCCGAGATACCAATATAATCCAAAGAGTTCCGCCCGAGGGATTATATTGGTTAAGGGTTGAAACGGTGTGTGATATTAAAAAAGCCATATCATATACACTTTATTATATACCTCAAAGACAACTAATCTCCCTTAGATATTTTTCTCGAGACGTGACGTAATACATATTTGGTTGATAAAGCTTTTGTAACCGTGACTGATATTGATTACGTGACGTAATACAGTTTAGGGGTTTAATAAAACCCTTGCAACCGTGACTGATATCGATATCATCACGGATGGCTGATACAGCACAGTTTGTAATGAAAAATAGTAAACACTTTAGATTTGATCTTTCTAAATGACACAAAAGTAAACTTTTATATGAATTTGTAATTAAAGATGCATTTCTTTAGTAAAAAGTTTCTTTACAATTACAATATAGTTTAAACCACATGATACTAAAACATATTTCCTGAGATCAAATCACTGCTTAATCAATATGCTATTCATTTATAACTTTAGCTGTGCTGACTGCATGAACTGAGTGAGGCAGAAAAGTTATTATTATTTACACCTACTAAAATATAATAATATCATCAGATCATTGCTTACATTTTGTAGACCTCTCGTTCGACATTATGGAAACTATAAATGTCTCTCTGTGTATTAGATATTTCATTCTAATGTGTGGTGATAATCTTTCAAATGAAAAAAAAAGATAAAGATACAATCATAACTGGAAGTTTCAAGCCCATTTCACTCCAGAGAGTTAATAGAAACAGGATATATCTATACTGTTTAAAATGAAGCTTGTCAAAACAATGAAAAGTGTCTTTTTATAAACATGATATGTACAAGACAACCTTATGACTCCAGATGTCAATTTTGATAGTAAATCAATATAATTTATATGTACACTAATCTAGTTCTATTACTTTTTAAATCATAATATATCAAGAACTCAAATGTGTTGTATATGAACACACAAAAACATGATGAATTAAAATGTTAATGTCAGATTTTATAACATGAATGAAATAAAGATTGGATTTGAAAAATGATCACATCATACTGAATAATTATAAATTATAATTATTTTAATATATCAAATTCCTACATATGATACTAAATTCAGACAAGCTATTGGCACGATTTTATACCCTGTGCCGTGATACAGTTTAAAATAAAGGTTATTTTATCAAATAAACATGCATATTTTTTTAACTTCATTCTTTCTTACTGATGCAAATAAGAGGTCTGCTACATATCTTGATACTTTTCATAAATATGACACAAGCAGATGCCTAAGGACAAATGACATGGCGATTCCAGTCAATGTATGGCGTGCAGTTTTTTTTTTTAATTTGACTGTTCCTGATGAAAGTAAAAATAGAAATCCGCGGCAAACGCCGCAAATTTAGAGAGCTATTTTTTAATTTTCTTATTTCGCAGTAGTACAGTCTGGGGTCTCACTGGCAGAAGTAAATATTATTTACCTGATTGTGTAAACTTCCTATAACTTCAACAGGTAAAATTCTTTTACCTATGCAAATATGCTGAATTTACCTAAATAGGTAAAAAAAAAGAACTCTGGATTATCTCCCTTTGACAAATGATCTTTTTTTTATTTGATCATCTTATATTCCTAGTCCACTAGATTTTTTGATTACCTCCCTTATTTTTGTTTACTTTTTTAAGTAAATACTATAATTAATTTGAATTCAAAAGACAACTTTCAATGACTTTCACAAATTCTATATCGAATATTAGGAGGTACATTGTTATTGTTGAATCAAGGAAAAGGAATAATACAGTGTAAAAATATGTTTTATTAATCAACATAAAACTAAACAACTGACAGCTAAAGGAATATGTGTTTTTGAACAAAAATCATTCATGAAATATATAGAAACAAGTGTGGACACAGACCATATACATATACATGCATCTTATCAAATGTTCAAATAACAAAAGAAGTTTTTAATCATTTGTTAAACCACTTTCATGACTAGAAAAAGCTATCAGTAGCTAAATTAAATTTTCAACTAAAGGTTGTTCTACATGTAAAACAGATACATGGACGGGTACATAGAGATCCATTATCTTCAGTCAATTGAATAATTTAACACAAGAAAATAACAGGTATACTGTTATTGTGTGAATTCTAATGAGGTTATCTCCTTTCACGAGTTATGTTGAAATAATACATGTAGGTTATTTGTACAAAGAAACAATGGCTGTAATAATGCTATTCAGTTACAAAATTTCGGTCAGTCAAATCAAGTCATATAAAACAAATAACGCTGTTAGTTCTGTTGTTTACATCTAAAATAAAATTGAGAATAGAGTATGGGGAATGCGTCAATGATTTCAACATTTGTGTCATTTCTGGTGAAACATTGTGGGCAAACAATACCTCATAAAAAACTAAGTATGGTAAAAATACTTGCTTAACACAAAGATAAAATAGGAAATACACAAGTACAGAAAATAAAAACATTGTAGAAATAAAATACAACCTCTATCTACCATGAATACTATTTACATACATGTACAATGTGAATAACAAAATTTCATATTTCTGAGATTGCCATCCATAAATAAAAATTGAAGAAAATTGAATCATGGCATTCAAATAATATTAGGATTAATTATCTAAGAGTTAAATAATTCTTCCAGTTTTTAATATTAAATTTCCAACTAATATCAAAATATTTTTTTTAAATCAATCACAAAATTTTGGATTCAGGTAAAGTTTGTTCTCTGATAAAAAAAAAAAAAAAAAAAAAACAAACTGCTACGCAATGAGCGCATGAAACACCGATCTATTTCAGAAAATGTAGAAATTTACACCACCACATCAATCAACTTTGAAATGCAATGTATGAGATATTCTCAAGTGACCGTGCAAAAACAATGCATTATTAAGTTTTCTTTTAGGAGCAAAGAATTGAAGTAGAAGCTGTGTAAACTTAAAAGCAATTTAGAGAAGAGGTTTCCAAGATACAGCCACCCCCCTTTTTTAGGGGAAAGTAACAATGAAAATAAGGCTTAACAATCAGATAAATTAGTTCAAATCCTCTTTGAGCTGTCATATTCCTTTTTAAAGAGATTATTCCACTAGAATTTTGATAACATCCCTGAGATTTTTTGTGAAAAAAATCACAAAATAGTGACAACAATAGCTCACTTGGCTAATAGAGCCAAGAAAGCTCAATGGAGAAAAATAAAAGCACCATATGGGACTTACAAACATATATAAAACTTATCAAAACAATAAAGTGCTTATAAAACGATTGCTTTCAAAACAGTGAACATTGATAAATTCAGTAACAATGAACATGATAAAAAAAGTATCATATACCTAAATACAACAGTAACAATATTTAAAAAAAAGGCCCTACATGTATATGGTATATTTCAACCTTTTTTCATCAGCAATACACATTAAAATGGGATGTGCATGCTCAAATAGATCATAAAAAGTATTGGACGGTTCATTCACGACATATTCATATGGGTAAAGGATTATTCTGGATAATACCAATAAGCTGAAATAAAAAATGTAAACAAATTTTGTTACGAAGCATCAAGCTTTAAAACTGACTTAACATGTTACAAGAATATTGTAAAACAAAGTATAAAATGTTCGTAATAATGTTCAAAAATAACGACTAGGCAAAAACATATATACAATTATGTTACACTATATAGCTATTCATATTGCTAATAAAACATCCACATAGATATCTTTAAAAAAACAGAGGCTCTCAAGAGCCTGAATTGCTCACCTGTAATTCTTTACTTAAATCTGTTATCAATGATTTTTTAGCTTTTTAATGTATATATAAATGTGTGCTTAAAAATAAATAATAAGCTATTCTTTGTATCTGTAATTTATTGTCTTCAAAGGCAAACAAAAAAATGCATTTTACCCATAAGTTCTTATTGAGCCATAGTGGCTATTTTTCTTGACATAAAAGAAAATAAAACACAAGCTTTATACTAGACCCCTATGTTTTATTTTTAGTCAATGCAGCCATGTTTTTTTAAGAAACCGAAAATAAAACACAAAACAATCATTCAGCTTAAGTTTGATTAGAATTGGTTCAATAGTTTCAGAGGAGAAGATCTTTAAAATGGTTAACACCGGACGCACGACGATGACGGACGCCAAGTGATGGCAAACATGGGGGAAAGTGTATACATGATATATAAAATTTAAGTAACAATAAGCCAGTTAATGTCATAGTAAAGATTAATATCAGGTGTCTGGTAAATAGCCACTGAACTGGACTATTATATACATTCTGACATGACATTTCACATACATGTATCTTGAAAAAACATCTCAATTGAACGCCTCTTCTTAACTTGTTTCGGATGTTGCAATTTCTTTATAATGCTTTTTCTTTCAATAATACTTTGATCTGGCATTTCTGGCCATATAAACATTTCATTTTGATTCTTTTTCATAAAAGAAACATCCACATCTTCTTCTGCTATACTTATGACCTGGAAAGAAAATAAATCGATTTTGTTGGATTTTAAAATTAAGTATGTAATAAATAGAAACTAGAGGCTCTAAAGAGCCTGTGTCGCTCACCTTGGTCTATGTGCATATTAAACAAAGGACACAGATGGATTCATGACAAAATTGTGTTTTAGTGATGGTGATGTGTTTGTAGATCTTACTTTATTGAACATTCTTGATGCTTACAATTATCTCTATCTATAATGAACTTGGCCCAGTAGTTTCAGTGGAAATTATTTTGTAAAAATTTACAAAATTTATGAAAATTGTTAAAAATTGATTATAAAGGGCAATAACTCCTTAAGGGGTCAATTGACCATTTTGGTCATGTTGACTTATTTGTAGGTCTTACTTTGCTGTACATTATTGCTGTTTACAGTTTATCTCTATCTATAATAATATTCAAGATAATAACCAAAAGCTGAAAAAATTTCTAAAAATTACCAATTCAGGGGCAGCAACCCAACAACGGGTTGCCTGAATGGTCTGAAAATTTAGGGCAGATAGATGTTGACCTAATGAACAATTTTGTTTCTGAAAGATTTGCTCGAAATGCTTTGGGTTCAGATATATGAGCCAAAAACTGCATTTTACCCTATGTACTATTATTAGCCATGTCGGCCATCTTGGTTCGCGAGCCGGGTCATCAGACACAATTTTTAAACTACATACCCTAATGATGATTGTGGCCAAGTTTGGTTAAATTCATCTTAGTAGTTTCAGAGGAGAAGATTTTTGTAAAAGATAACAAAAATTTACGAAAAATTGTTAAAATTTGACTATAAAAGGGCAATAACTCCTTAAGGGGTCAACTGACCATTTTGGTCATGTTGACTTATTTGTAGAACTTACTTTGCTGAACATTATTGCTGTTTACAGTTTATCTCTATCTATAATATTCAAGATAATAACCAAATACGGCAAAATTTCCTTAATATTACTAATTCAGGGGCAGCAACCTAACAACGGGTTGTCCGATTCATCTGAAAATTTCAGGGCAGATAGATCTTGACCTGATAAACATTTATATCCCATGTCAGATTTGCTCTCAATGCTTTGGTTTCAGAGATATAAGCCAAAATCTACATTTTACCCCTATGTTCTATTTTTAGCCATGGCGGCCATCTTGGTTGGTTGGCCAGGTCACCGGACACATTTTTTAAACTAGTTCCCTAATGATGATTGTGGCCAAGTTTGGTTAAATTTGGTACAGTAGTTTCAGAGGAGAAGATTTTTGTAAAAGTTTACGGACGACGGACGCCAAGTGATGAGAAAAGCTCACTTGGCCCTTTGGGCCAGGTGAGCTAAAAATAAACTTTAAAATGCAATCATTTTTCTATATTTATGAAAGGTCAAATCAGGTTTAAATAGAAATAACTGCAACTTATATGTATATAATATACACATCAAGGCTTTAAAAGTCTTTACAGAAATTATATACAAACACAATATGTTTCATGTTTCTATGGACAATGGTATAAGTATATGTTTGCTGGAATTAGTTTGTGGACACAGCTTTTAACAAAAAAGCATTTGAAGAGTAAAGTTGGCTTCTTGGTTTGCTTTCTAATTCTTTCATGAAAGAATGTACCCAATTCAAGCGAGAATGATTCACAATGAGGTTTCATGCAAATTCTTATTTTCCTTGTCAGGGATTTATAAAGCTACAAACTTGTATAAATTGTTGAAAATCAGGATCTGTTACTTTTAAAATATTTTTCTAAAACATTATTTTATTCTATTATTAATACTTTGCTATTTATTTCAATTAATCTACAGTCGTCAATCATGTTTAAGCTATGGATCAATTTAAATAAAATATAAGGCCCATACATAAAATCAGAACAAGTGCAGTCTAACATTTCAACAGAATGCTATTGTTTACCAACCTTTCCAATGAACTGCTTTGTTCTTGAAGTCTTTTCAACTTGAAGTTCCACTAGAACAAAATCACCTGAAACCAAAAAAATATATATTAATTAATATTATTAATTTGTATATTCTAACTAATTTGATTCGTTCAGGGATAGTCACATGTTAAACTATATTTTCTAAGGTAGACTGAAAAACGGCAGATTGAAAAGTGATATTGCACGGTATTTTATAGAAAAGTGATATTGCATGGTTATTTTTAGAATATCTAAGAACCGATATACTTTTTCATGTCAACTAATGAATTTCATGATATTGTTTTAAAAAAGTGTATATATATGATCAAGTTTAAAAAAATCTTCAAAATATATAAAATGTACTAACAAGAACATAAAAAATTTCAATCAGAACAAATATGATGAAATTGTCTAAGAGACAATGTAAAAAAAAAAACAATCAAAAAAGGGAATATTATAGTACACTGATATGGTCAGTAGTTAATAATATAACAATTATAGCCTTTGTATTCGGTCAATACAGGATATATCGACCCAAAGAAGTATATCGACCTCAGACTTCGTCCTCAGTCAATATACTTTTTTCAGGTCAATATATCCTTGTATCAACCTCATACAAAGGCTATAATTGTAAAGTGTTTCCCACAACTAATTTCGTCCCCTAAAGACACCTGATAAAGTGAGTTATAATTGCTGTCAATGCTGAAAGAACAGTTAAGAAGTTGAAACATTTCCTTTCTGAACATACTAACTGCTTTATATAAATGTGGTTTATGAATATAATCTTCCAGCAGTTCCCTTTTTTAATGTGTGAATATTTTGTAAATACAATTAAATTGCAACATGAAAGACAGTAGCAAAGTATACCTTTACTTAAAATTTCCTCTGGTTGTACCTCTGGTTGTACCTCAGGTTGTTTCTCTGGTTGTACCTCTGGTTGTTCCTCCAGTTGTTCTAGTTGTACCTCTGGTTGTACCTCCAGTTGTCCTGGTTGTACCTCTGGTTGTACCTCAGGCTGTTTCTCTGGTTGTACCTCTGGTTGTACCTCTGGTTGTACCTCTGGTTGTACCTCTGGTTGTACCTCCAGTTTTTCTGGTTGGACCTCTGGGTGTACCTCTGGTTGTACATCTAGATGTTCTGGTTGTACCTCTGGTTGTTTCTGTGGTTGTACCTCTGGTTGAACCTTAAAATGTTCTGATGTTTCCTCTGGTTGGGTTGGTTGTTCCTCCGATTGTTTTTGTGTATTTTCTGGTTGTTCCTCTTGGTTTTTAGATGCTTCAGTTGGCTCCTTTAAATTACAGTATTTAATCATTATTGATTATCTGATTCAATAATTTTTGTTTCTTAAAGTAAAATATTACTAAACAAGAGGCGCTATAGAGCTTGAATCTCTTAATCTTGTTTGATCAAGCTACACCAAAAGTTGATTGTTATTAGGTGTTGACAAGATATATGACTGATATAGTCATATTTATAAATTTACAGTTTTAAACTTGATTTAGCTTTTTAACTTTCCATTAGAGCATCACTGATGATTCTAATGTAGGAGAAACATTTGTCTGACGTGCACAAATATTTTTAGCCTGATATCTTTGCTTAGTTTTATACCATACATCATTCCTGTCAAATTTGGTTAAAATCAGTCAAGTGATGTTCATGTTGTTGAGTTAAATGTTGAGAGTGTAAGGATAGATATAGACATTGTCTTAAATTTGCTCTTTTGTATTTGATGGATTATTTTATAACAGTATCATGATTATGGCAACTAAATTAGAATAGTTATTACAGGTGACTGTAACAAGAAACGCATGATCAAAATTAGGATAATTAAGATGTATGTACTTACTTTTTCTGTTGGATCAACATAAAAATCCATGTTTTCCATCAGGACAGAGGCCTCTCTGTAATAAAGTAATTAACTTTGTCAAATGTAAAAAGAAATAATTAAAACTTCTTTAAACAAATTGAGAAAAAGAAAATCATATCAAATGATATTCATCCAAAAATTTGAAAGATTAATTTATAAGAAATGATTTACATACATGCATAGTTGATGGATTGATGGATGGTTGTTTAACGTCCAGTGGCATATTCAGGACGAGAACATGATAATGATACATGAATATTAACCCTGCTTTGTACGAGACAGACATGCTGAGCCGGATTTTTAATGTGCTAGCTCACAAGGTTACAGGTTGCAGGAAGACATGTCAACTTACCCGGACACATTATTCTGACTCTGGGCCGACAAGTCTTTGCTCTAACTCCTCAATGACATGTGCTTGGTGGAGAAGCGGCAAATACCAATTTTCAAGTCTTTGGTTTGACCCGGACGAGGCACTCGAAGTGAGCACGCCATGCAAAGTTGATACAGAGTTGTACATTTTCAAGCAGTATCTTTATAATGATAGTCAGAAGTCCCTTTAAAGTATATATCCAAGAGAAATATCCTGTCATGCTCACCTTAGTAAAGAACTATTTAACACAACATCTTCCAAAACAATGACAGGACTCATTTCCCGGCTGTCTGGAACTTCCATTTCAATACAATAAGAATTTTATCATCATTTACCATTTTTCAGCAAAAAGTTCAGATTTTGATAAATTAACCAGTAAAACCCTAAGAGACAGCAAACTTATTATACAATACAAATAATGTTAAATATACAGTGATGAGGTATCCCCTTACAATTGAGAGGCTTACGTCTAATACTTACACTTACAGAATATTTAAGGACATTACAAATGATCTTGTCTGTGCAATTTTCTAATGATTTCATTTGAAACTAAAAGGTTTACAGGGGATTTTTCAAGTGTTTTATTTTTTGTTTTTTAACATTTCTTTCTTCTAGTCATCAATATTTGAGTAGACTGTACACTTACAGAATATTTAAGGACATCACAAATGATCGTGTCTGTGCAATTTTCTAATGATTTCGTTTGAAACTAAAAGGTTTACAGGGGATTTTTCAAGTGTTTTATTTTTTTGTTTTTTAACATTTCTTTTTTCTAGTCATCAATATTTGAGTAGACTGTACACTTACAGAATATTTAAGGACATCACAAATGATCGTGTCTGTGCAATTTTCTAATGATTTCATTTGAAACTAAAAGGTTAACAGGGGATTTTCAAGTGTTTTATTATTTTTTTTGTTAACATTTCTTTTTTCTAGTCACCAATATTTGAGTAGACAGCTGTACTTAAGAATGTTGTTTTCATCAGATAATACCTACTTGTCATCTTCATAGACTAGAACCTTTGCTGTTTTCCTCTTTGGTCTGAAAAAAAAAGAAGTTTAAAGTAACATCAAATAACATCAAATTATTCTCTGTGAACTGAAATATTTTTCTGTTTGTTAATTTGTCATATGATATTGTAAAAAAAGTATACATGTGTGAAATTTTAAACAATCATCATGGATGAAACTAAAACTGAGAACAAGAATGATCGTTAAACTATCTAAAAAACTTTTTACCTCAATTTCACAGAATCAACATTATCTTCTAAGGCATAAACAGGACTCATTTCATTGTCATCACTGCTTGGCATTTCAATGTTGCTACAATTACAATTGTATGTTACTTACTATTTAAGAATTTAAGGGCATAAATACTTATTAAAGGTACCAGGCTTATAATTTTTTTCTACCCCAGACGCCATTTTGTCTAATATAAGACGCATCATGACGCTCGGATCAAAATAAATGTAAGACCAAATAAAGTAGAAAGTTTAAGCATACATTACATTAGCAAGATCAGACAATAATGAATCCAAATTCAAAATGTTGTTTTCGAAACGTTACTTAAGAAAAGCATCGAAAAATTACTGAAGTCATTTAATTGGTTACATTGAAATGAATGCATTTGCAATCGAAAACAAACATGCTGTATATTTAAAAAGTCGAAATCTTATGTTTTGACATATAAAAATTTGATGTGAAGAATAATTTGTATAATGTTTGGATGAAAGATGCAAAGAAATGCACAATGATGACCCAATAATCATACACTGTGACGTTTTTTAGCGCAAAAATCTTGAGCATTTGAAAATCTTTTTTGTTTTCTTCACATTCAAAATAAGCACATAGACCTCCCTTTTTTTCTTTTGCAAACAACGTATGTATGTATGTGCCTGTCCCAAGTCAGGAGCCTGTAATTCAGTGGTTGTTGTTTGTTGCTGTGTTACATTTTTGTTTTTCGTTCATTTATTTGTACATTAATTAGGCCTTTAGTTTTTTCTTTGAATTGTTTTTCATTTGTCATTTCGGGGCCTTTTATAGCTGACTATGCGGTATTGGCTTTGCTCATTGTTGAAGGCGGTACAGTGACCTATAGTTGTTAGTTTCTGAGTCATTTGGTCTCTTGTGAAGAGATTTTTCATTGGCAATTACACCACATCTTCTTTTTTCTATTGTTTTGTACACGAATATTATATCAAAATTACTTTCAGATGATACATACTTGTTATTTTCCAAGAGTACTTTTGATGATTTTCCACCTCTTCCTCTTCCTCTACCACGACCTCTGCCCCGGCTGCCTCTTGTTTTGGATCTATAAAACAGACAGAAGATACAGATCAGATGAGCAGAAATATAAATGCAAATTGTACGAGTTTTATGTTTTGCAACAAGCCTGATGAGGAGAGATAATAAGATACTGGTATGACCGATAAAACTGTCTGTCTTACTTAAAACTGTTTGTGTTCCATTTAGTTAAGAATTCTCATTCTCAGTCAGTCATGTCAGTAGGACATAACATTTTTAATGGAAAATACCGATAATGTCTAAGACAATGTGCAGTAGCCAAAAAAAAAAAAAAAAATCCACCGGAGTTATCATTATCAATTCAAAATCATTTAAATCACAGGCTGTTTAGAACTTTCCACATTCTTTTACTTTTTCTGTCCTGACAAATTGAAATTTAAAAAATAAATATGAGACAAACATTTCACCTTTCTGAAAAAAGTCTTTTCAACTCTCCTCTTCTTTTAGGAACTTCTAAAGCATTAGGCGGTTCACTAGAAATACATAAAAAAATGATTATTTCAGTGTACATGCATGACAAGAACAAGATCTATTATAATTTAAAGTATTACTTTAGTTATTGTGAATATGAGCTTAGATACATAATATCTGGTTTCATCCTTTTAAATGACACATTTTGTTTATGTTTATTTTCTCTTTCTGCAATATGGGTTTCCTTTTCCACTAACATGACTAAAGTATTGTTAATGAAATGAAATGATTCACGATTGTCTTAAATCTTGACCTGACATAGATGAACTACATTGTGCAAATTTAACAGTGTTCTCTCCTGGTTTTAGATAATGTCATTAATCATGTTATGAACAAGTGTAGACACAGACCTGCATTCATAGTATTTAACATTCTGAGAGTATTGCAAGGCAGTACATAGTCCCCTACCAGTTGGAAAACAGTGTTCAAGAACAATATTCAAACCTGATCTGTAACTTGTCGTGTTAAATCTATATACCCTAAACCAAATCAATATCTTAAATCATGATGAAAAAAGTGTCGCAAAATGATTGCTTGAATTTTTATGTCGTGGGATCCAAGCTATGCAAAAAAATATCAGATCAGAACATGTCATGCTAAAACTTCATACCAAATCTTCAAGCATGACAAAAAAGTGTTAAAAACTGATCTGCCAGACTGACTGATTGACGGAAGAACCTATGGACAGACAGTGTACAAATCTATAGTCCACTAGGCATTGCCAGTAGGGAAATAATAAGACTCAACTTGTTTTTATTAGTACTTACATTGAAATGTCATCCTCATTTACAGTTATATGGATATTTTCCAAATCTTTTCTTTGAGTTTCTGATATACTTTGTCCACTTCCCTGGGCAAATGAGTATGCTCCTTTTCCAGGTGTCAGGAAAGATGTTACTTTATCCTTTTTGATTACTGGCATTGTTGGTTTAACTCTATTTTCAAATGGTGGATATGTAGTCAATTTGTCTCCTTTTATAAATTTCTTATAAAGACTTCCATATCCATAGCACTTTTGTACGTGTTCTGATCCCCTTCTACTGATTATAAAGAGTGTATCAACTGGATCAAAAATTTGTTCTCTTTCTAATTTAAGAGCAATTTGTTTCAGCTTGGATACAGCTCTTGATTTAGCTGCAGCCAATGCTGTTCTTTTGTGTTTTCTTTCATCAATTTTGTCTGTATAATTAACTTTAACCCCTGGTTTTTTCTTTTTGTATCTATATGGATGTTTTTTTGCCCGTGGAGAGCTAGGAGCCTCCACCACTCTCTGCCTCACTTCTGTAACTTAAAAAGAAAAAATGAAAATTATAAATATGTCATTAAGTGCAAATGCTAAAAATCTTCAATGAATTTCTTTCCATGATATGCATTGGGTAAACTTTCTTAATATGTTCCTCAATTAACATTTAGTTGTTATACAGATGTAAATATAAAAAAGAAGATGTGGTGTAATTTCCAATGAGACAACTCTTCACAAGGGACCAAATGACATAAGTCATCTCATGTACATTGTGAGATTCATGAATATTTGATTTCATGGTGCTAAGTAAATTTATGAGTACTAATAAAATTCTTTAATGGGTTTGCAGTCAATAATATTCCTCAGTAGTTTAGCTTCAAGATAATGTCCTATTGTACTATATAAATCAATGTTCAAGTCAACTCTTTGTCTATGACTTGTGCAGTCAACAAATCATTTGTGTGACATGCTACATGCTCATATGCACAGGTAAAATATTTTCCCCAATAAAAGCGTATTTATACAGGAGCCAGTAGTTACTGGCAAATCAACCAAATTTATGTATTCTAGCAAATCCCCCAAATAAAACCTTTTATTTTGAACAACTTTTTTTTTCTGAATTGGTGAAAATTTTACAATACAGTCAAACCTGCCTTAACAGTCACCTGCCATGAATGGCCACTTTCAGACCCCCCCCAAACGTTTTCTCTAAATAATTTAACTCTTTTCAGCGGCCACCTGTCCAAAGCGGCCAGTAGTCACCTTATTTTCGTCAGATTATGTACTGCAAGTGTGTAAAGTTTCATCAATACCGATCAAGCTGTTGAGAAGTTGCCTTTACGAGACTTGTTACCACATATGGCAATATTAAACTAAGGTCAATTATCTCCCTTGAAATATTTTGAACCAGGATTATTTTCCTTCTTGCACATTCTTAGGTTGTGTTCTGCAAGTGTGTAAAGTTTCAACAACATTGATTAAGCCCTTTAGAAGGAGCTGCGCTTACGAGACTTGTTACCACAAATTGGGGTGATTCCTATATACCCCCCCCCCCCCCAAACTTTGTTTGTGGGGGTATAAAAAAAGTGAAATGAAAAACTAATGAATATATGAATACCTTGCATGTATTCTAATTCTTGTCTTCCTAATAAAAAAAAATCAGGAAGATTAACACACCAACAATCATTATGGCTGTACTTATGGGATACACTAAGATATACATGCGATCTAAAAAAGATAAAGTTATATAACAATTACAACATACATCATGCAATATTTTAAAGACTAGCATTGTAAAAAAGATCATGCTGATTCACAGTTCATTCATCATTTTCATGACTTTGTAAGAATAATCGAGTTTTGTACATTCATGACAGTCATGACAGTAGGAATTATTAATAGTTATGGGCCAAGGTATCAGAGAAATTAGGTTGAATTGACAGTGTCACATGCTACCAAATAATATGTCTGACTTTATATCTTGGCATGCGTAACCATGCAAATTGTACCTTATTTGATCTTCAAATTCTGTGTCAAGAGTTTCCATGACTCTCTTCAATTCTTCCAAGAAGTTTAGAAGTTTTGTTTTCCCCTTGGTTTTAACCTCCTGCTCATAGATATAATTGTGGTAGTCAAACTGAAAGGGGTCAGGAATTTTGTTCAACATTTTATGTATTTCTTTTTGGATTTGCTTTATAGTCATATTTCCAAAGCTTTGCAATTTCTCTCTTTCACTCGGGGTTATTGGTAATGGGTGCTTGAATGTTGATTGTTCTTCAAATATCTCTCCCAGAAATTCTGTTCTTAGCATAACTATTCTTTTCTTTGTTGACTCTTGTACAAAGTTTACAAGTCCTTCATCAAGGGCCATTCCGGAGATGGAAGTGTGATCTTTTTCTTTATCCAAATAATTGCTCCTACGGAGACAAGTTCTATATGCTGTTATTGCATCCTCAATACCTAGTGGTCTTGATACATATTTGGTGGACTGAATACCAAAAAGGGAAAGAGAGTGGTCTTTAATTTTTTCTAATGCACGATTGTTTCTGCAGACTGTTTGCCAAATGATATCTGTTGGCATGCCTTTTGGTATCCATGCCTTTAGCTGTTTATTTTTTTCCTCTAAAACAAAGTCTAAATCTTCACCTGCAGAGGGGTTACCACTTGTAGTAATAGATGCATAAAGGTCATTTAGTTCCCTGACATCGTCTGGCATCATTCGGTCCTGTATTGTATCGTATAGTTCAATCTTCTGGTACTTAGGGTGGTTCCTGCCATGGAATAGTTCCTTGGTCATGTATTTGGAACTTTTCATTAAATCTGCATTGTTCCTACGAGTTGCCATTCGAAAATTTACTATTCCCTGTGAAAATTTGCAAACTTGATCTAACATGTATTTGAAATTTTGATAATTTCCATATGAGTATTTCTCTATGCTTGATGTCAAGAATCCTTTAGCTGTGGGGGACATCTAGAAGACAAGCAATTTCTAACATATGGAAGGACCAGCTCCTGTAAAGAACTCAGATGGAATATGAGTAGCAGGCGCCAACTTTTATGATGGTCCTTACAGGATTTAGCAAACTGCTTAGAGGAATCTGTACAGAAACCCATAATTTCACATAAAGTTTCTAAGAATGGAGTCCAGTTCAGTTCAAAAAAGGACTTAACAAGATTCATTTCGTAATGGCCAGCACCAATTCTAAGATACATCCAGTCAAACTCATGCATAAACTGTTTCTGTGATCCTTGATGAGTTTGCTCACAATGCCTTTCATACAAATCTCTGGAAAGAAATGATTCATGGCAGCCTGTTATGGCACAAACTAATGCTTCTTCTTTCAGTTTTTTGATAATTAAGTAAGGCAAACCATCACAACAAACAAACGTCCAATGACGTTTATTCCCACCATATCTATGAATTCCATTCTCCTCCCCAATTTTCCTCAAGACAAGTGCGACTGACTTTATACTATTTGGGTTGCAGTTCACTGGGTCCGTCAAAACTAATTCATGTTTTCCTTTATGGTTTGTAGTGATATGGTCATATTGAGTAAATTCAGTTGTGACAGTGCTTACTTTGCTTTGGTCTTCATCGTGAATGAATACTAGTTTTGGAATCTTTTCTTTTTTCTTTGGATCAGGTTTTGTGTTTTTCTGGTCAAGTTTAGCCTTTTTGATACCTTCCCTTTCATCACAGCCAGTACATTTCTGTTTTCTTTTTGAATTGAGGGTGCCACATGAGGCACATTTGATGTAATTTTCTTCAACAATATCCTGTCTAACTTTTAAGTCAATTGGATCTTCAAAACAACCATCCATGTCTTGCTGTTCAGCAAGTACAACTTCAATAGCATGGTCTATAAAATGATAAAGCTGTTCATTATGGTCAGTTTCCATTTTAACATACAGTTCACTGACTTGATCAATCATACAATTTATCACAGATCTTAGCTTGACTTCCTTATCATTATGATATGAACTATTTTCTCCATTTTCACTTTTATCCTCAGATGATGATTTATTCGTCATGACATTATGGCCCTGAAGATTCAGTTTCACTTCAGGTTTAAGAGCTAGCTCATCTTGCAGTGTTTTACCAATAGAGTGCATGTTTAATTCTAAAAATCCTTTGTTGGTTATAACAGAAACTGGTACCTTATTGCCAGGTTTAATTGAATAAGTTTTGCCAACTACCTGTTCATTGTCAAATACATTCATTAAATCATTAGATGGAAGTTGTACTGGTTGACTTCCCTGATCTTTCAGCCAGTTTGTGACAGTTTTATAATGACCTGAAGGACTTGAGTTTCCAAAGATATCAACGACAACCTTGCTACCTGTCATGGCATATGATGTGAGGTTTGCTAAGAATGATACTGGGGAAATCAAATTTCTGCTGCATAAATAATATATGTGTTCTACTGCACGTGATACTATGAGAGCATCTCTGGGATTTTTTTCAAGAGCATTGACACCACAACCAGCTAGGCCAAGTAAATATGCCGTGACACTTTGGTCTCTCTTCTTCACCCAATCAAAGATGTCAAAACTGGACATTGCTTCCATGTCTTTGTACATAAGGAAAAAAGAATCAGCATCTCTGGAAATGGATTGTTTTTGTTTCCTTCCTAAACATTCACACAAAATTGATAAACTGTTTGTTGGTAATAGATCTAAAAATTTGGAAAAGAAATCATCATGCTGTTCTTTGCTACTGCTTGATATGACATGTTGAATATGTTTTAAAAGAAGCATTATATCAGTTGTTTGGTTTGCATTCCCAAAATTTACAGTAATTACTCCATTGTCTGTCGGACCCAAATCTTGGCTCATATTCTCAGATATATCACACTCTTGTATATAGTCAATGGAATCTTGATTTTCAATGTTGACATGTTTCAACTTTCTTTTCTTTGGTCTACCTTTGGCAGATGGCTCATTGATAAAACATATCACACAATCTTTACTATGAGGAAGGTAAAATTTTAATTTAATTGATTGTAATGTTTGTAAAGATGAAATGTCTGTCCCACTTCTGTATCTGTATAAATGTCTTGAACATGTGTGGCACACATATAATGGGAAGATTTCCTTTGGTTCACCCTCAACATTTATGCCAAATAAAGCTAAAATTTCCCTTGCAAAAGATAGTTTGTTATACTGCTTCGAAATTACTTTATGACATAAGCGACAAAAGTTATTAAGTTTATCAATATGTTTTTTAAGCTCATCTGAACATTCAATTAATACAGCAGACTGCAGTCCAGCCATTTTAAATTTTTATTATCTGATTGTGCATATAAATGCCATATCAGCACAACGAACAAGAAAAAATGAATGTCTATTCTGCAGGATAAAGTCAAATGAAAGTAATCTTGAGGAAAACAAAACAACTAAAACTCTCAGTGTCTGAAATGGTATTAATACTATGATTGATTTTCTTTGTGAAATCACAGAAAAAATGGTGAGGTTAATAAAGTGTTAATATTTATATATACAATGCATACAGAAAGTAATGAGACAAAGGAGAAGCTTCAGGACATGAATTAAAACACTTATTCATTCAATTCTATGCGTACTTTACATGTACATGTATTATGATAAACAAATGCAATGGATCTTTAGCACTCACAGGCATGATAGACAACTGTTTGCAGTCTTCACGCTTAACCACAAGTCCTACGGCATTGGCTTGTAAAATTGCTTTCTGACTTGTAAAATTCTTCTCTACAAGCCAACAGAATCCAACTTAAATTTTGAAAAAAATGAGCTTTGGGCTTGTGGACTTAAAAGTTAACTGTGAAGGCTGTGTTTGTTTTTAATGACAACAGTGACAACCCCATGATATTGCAATAATAATTACTAAGTCAATATAGACTGGCCTTAGTGGACACTGCAATCAGTCATGGATACATATGTAAGAACTAAAGAATAAATTGCTTCGCTAAGCGCAGCTCGATACGCCCGCAGAGGTCCAACCATGAACAGTTGGGGCAAAAATGGAAACAATATTCAAGCTTGATACAGGTCTGAATTTGGATTGTATTAAATATTTGACATATTATAGGTTTCTGAAAAAAGTAGTCAGAGAACTTGAAATTGGTTATATGAATTGAATTTATATTCAATTAAAGACTTCTTGCTGGTGTGCAATACACTGTGCTGTTGCGCAATACTTAGTAAATCTGTTGTCAGACTATAAACAATTAAAGTTCAATCAATTCTCAATGTCATATTAGAAATTTATGAAAATGTAAAGGGAGCTTACATCAATAGATATAAACAATTCACCAAAGTTTCATGAGAATTGCTGACAGCATTTTTGAGTTATTGTCCGAAAACTGGAAAATCCCCCCTTTTTTAATGAATAAAACCCCATAACTCAGAAATGTAAAATGTAAAATTTATAAAATTCTAAATGGAGCTTACATCAATAGATATAAACAATTCACCAAAGTTTCATAAGAACTGCTGAAAGGATTTTTGATTTTTTGTCCAAAAACTGGAAAATCCTCCTTTTTTTATGAATAAAACCCTGTAACTCGGAAACGTAAAAACTCAAATATAAATAAATCAAACGGGAGCCCATGTCAATAGATGTAAACAATTCACCACAATTTCTTGCAAGTTGGTGAAAGCATTCTTGATTTATTGTCCGAAAACTTGAAAATCCCCCTTTTTTTAAT